TCGTTACGCATCCATCCGATTGATTCAATTCCAGACAAAGATATTTGCCATGCCAACTGAGAGACTTAAACCCTCTGCCAGACTCATCTAGTCCGACAGAGGCTCGGGGACTACACCCAGTGGGTGCACTCAGCGTGCCCCCACTGGAAGAGGACTCAGAAAGAAACATTTTGCTCGATGCAAACCCATCTCCAGTATTACTCGACCTCCGAGTCAGAGAAGAACAAGTTCGATCAGTACCAGCTAAGAAGAGTTTTAGTTCTCTCATACTCCCGCCGACTGCCCGCAGTCGACAGCAGTCTCGGGGACTACACCCAGTGGGTGCACTCAGCGTGCCCCCACTGGAATAGTATCCACTCGGAACGGTCCGCCCAACCCGAGTGACGGCCAAACAACAACAAAAAGACAGGCTCTAAGACTCCCGCCGACTGCCCGCAGTCGACAGCAGTCTCGGGGACTACACCCAGTGGGTGCACTCAGCGTGCCCCCACTGGAATGGTATCCACTCGGAACGGTCCGCCCAACCCGAGTGACGGCCAAACAACAAAAAAGACACGTTTCAGGCGTGAAGAAATTCCGAGTAATCAGTTACTCGATGCAAGCCCAGCTCCAAATCACTCCAAAAAATATTCTATAAGGCGAGTTTAACGCTCCTCCGTGGACCTGTTTTGAGCCTTCTTCTAGGACTCACAGTGTGAAACTCACAAGTGTGGATCTAAAACCGACTCGTATTGACGTTCCACCGGGATAAGAATGGCATCTCTCTAAGGGAACAGTCCATGTGTCAATCTGGTCGCACAGATTTAATGACACACCCATACTCAGATCACGAGTTAAACCTCTTCCGAGAGATGAATGAATGTCACCAAGTTGCTCCTCACAGACACATACCTCGATCAGTCGGGAAGCATGGTACCGGAATCCATTGAGATTTTGTTCAAACCTTGGTTGTCTGAAAGCGCGACGACATGTACCGAGTATTTCTGTAATCACTCGGACCAAACTGTGTCTTACACCAACTCGTTCTGCAAAATCGCAATCGATTCGGGGGCTAATGTTGGGGATATACATAACAGGTAGGCCCACGAAGGGTCGAAATATCATGAAGCGTGGGGTCCACACAACATGTGGGTCCAGGTCAATTTCATACAGACACACTGTCCACTCGGACAAGTAGCATACTATCCACTCGACCAAGCAACATACCATCCACTCGGATGACAGTTCACCACTCGACCGTACGACTCACTCGGATATACGAAGACCAGCAGGCAGCAAAGCAGTCGGCATCTTTCTAATAGTGAAGGCTTAATAGTGGGCTATCATATAGCATTCATACCCCACTTTGTAACATAGGAGGTGAGGGGGTGGCGCACTCTATATAAGCCACCCCCACCACTAGACTCAGGGGGCTCTTCTTCCACCTCTCTCTCTTTTCACCATTAGTCTCAGGACTCAGCTCAGGCATGGGGATCCGTTCCTCTCTCTCACACACATATTGTAATCTCCGGATATATACTCAGATAAAACAAAGCCTCTCCGGAGCACGAGACGTAGGGTTGTTATCTCCACCGTGAGAGGCCCGAACTCGCTAAAACCACCGTGTCACCCATATGCATCTCGATAGATCATGCTCCGTTCTCCTACCCCTCTCTTACTGTCAGACTTAGAACCACGACAGCTGGTTCGCCCTGCACAATAGTGCATGCTGGGAACCCAGCAGGAGAGCCCAAATCTCTTCGTGGCTGACATCTTTCTCCTAGGAATCTACTCCATTGCCGCTGGATCACAGGAGACTAAATCGGGATTGGTAGGAAAAAATTGTCGGATCAGCATCTACCTTGTTCTTCAGCATGGAAGCTGCTGCCACTTCGACACTTCGCCGTCCATCAGTATATGGCATCATCATGAGTTGATTTACTAATGAGACATCAGCTCGATCTTACTTAGAACCAAAGTTCACTACTAACAGAGTACCACCTAAGTCTATTTTAAATTGTACTGCATGAGATTTCTCTTTTGACATATTCTCTTTTTTGCTAAATCTGGTGATAGAGATTACTGTATCATAGAAAAATATCAATATTTTGCTAATGCTCCTGTGAATACCTGTGTTATTTTGCTAATGCCAACTAATGAAGAATGTCAGCTGGATCATGAACTAATTTGAATGGTGTGATTCAGAAGCAGAGAAAAAATTTAGATCACATACTTCAAAGTTCAGTAGGTGCATATGTCAGTGCACTGATTGAGAGCTAGTTAGCTACTAGTAATACAAAGCTAGATACTACTAGTACATAGGTAGATGAAAAAATGAATCATCACTCGCCTTTGCCTGTTGAGTCTGTATCGAGCTCGCATCTTCTAGTGCGATTGCGCGGCATCTCGGCCACCAGCTGACAGCGCATTAGTTCCACCATGGCGCCATCTCCCAGGGGGCGGGTCGGCCAGAACCTTGCCCTAGCCTTGAGCTCGCAGGTGGCAGGCAGCACTAGCCGCGACGGCTCCCGTTTTGCCGCCGGCCGAAGGACACGGACGAGCGCGGGGCAGCGCGCCTGAGGCGAGCAGATCTAGCCGCGATGGATCCCATCTTGCCTCCAGCTAAGACCACGGCCTCAGGCAGCGCAGTGTGACGGAGGTGAGCAGCGCTAGCCAGCAGCGACGACTCCCGTCTTACCGCCTTTCAACATGATGGAGCTTTATCAACCAACCCGTTATCAAGAGAATTGATATATAATACTCCCTCATTCCTAAATATATAAAAATTTCAATAAGTGACTACATACGAAGCAAATTGAGTGAACTATACTCTAAAATATGTCTACATACATCCGTATGTTGTAGTCCATTTAAAACGTCTAAAAAGACTTTTATTTCGGAATGGAGACATAACTCAGAGCGTCATACCATGCTGGAGTTCCGGATTCGAGTCCCGGGCAACCCATATAGAAAAGACCCATCAAAGTTTTTGATAGGCGGCACTAGCCGCGACAGATCTAGTTGACAAAGCACGTCAGAGATGGGCGGCGCTGCTCCTGTCTTGCTGCGGGCCATGGCCCGTACGGCAGATTTCACCTCTCTCGTAGTGGAGTTGCAGCAGCAATAGTGCGAGGGACAAGCCGATAAGGCAAAGAGAAAATTAATATTTTTAGTAAATAAATTAG